GGGCCTCATGCATTGCAAGGCAAGCGCTCTGCCACTGAGCCAACTTCCCAGCCCGAGATTATATATATATATATATATATATATATATATATATATAAAATGATTATAAAATGATTATAGTGTGCTATTTTAAAATGACTTTTTTCTTTCAATACATTAATTTTTATGTGGTAGAAAATTAAATATGTTTATGGAAGTCTTATGTGAAGAAGGAACTAATCAGATAGATTTTATTTTGTGTATTTAGCTGATTATAAGGAATGAATTTTAGTCAGATATGGTGGCTAATTCCTGTATTCCTAGTTATTCTCAAAGGTAGTTGGAAGTCAGCCTAGGGAAAATTTAGTGAGACCTCCATAAGCTGAGAGTTGTAATTCATACCTATGATTCAGCTGCACAGGAAGTATTGACAGGTGAACAGGAGATCTCAGACTTGCCTGGGCAAAGAGTCTCTAAATGAAAAGTAATCTCAAGTGCAAAGGGCTAGAGGCATGGCTCTAGTGGTAGAGTACTTGCCTAGCAAGTACATAGCCTTGAGTTTAAGTATTGTTCTGAAAAAAAAATTACTATTTAATCATCTCTTATAGCAATATCAGATCAATTTAGTTGTTAGAAATTTTGAGTTAGGGGCTGGGAAGGTGGCTCAGTGGTAGAGTGCTTGCCTTGCATGCATGAGGCCCTGGGTTCGATTCCTCAGCACCACATAAGCAAAAAGAAAAAAGCCAGAAGTGGCGCTGTGGCTCAAGGGGTAGAGCGCTAGCTTTGAGCTGAAGAGCTGAGGGACACCCAGGCCCAGAGTTCAGGCCCCACGACCAGATCCCCCCCCCAAAAAAAAAGAAATTTTGAGTTAATGTACTTTTATAGTTTTTATGCATGTTTGGCTTCACTTTTACAAAATGTGATATGATATGGAAATGTGTTTATAAAAAGTTCAATTTAGCATATTTTTCCTTGTTTAAAAATTACTGAACGGAATATAACAAAAATTTGTTACCATGTAAAAATCTCATTCACTCCTCTAATTTTTACTGTATGAAAGAAGAATATGGCTATTTGTGTTTTAAAATGAAATACAAAATGCTGCTCCTAGAGAATTTATTAAATGATTGCTTTTGGATTTCTTAGTTTTTTAAAAAAATATTAAAAATATATTAGTCTATATTAATTGAAGAAGGAGTGGTTTCACTGTAACATTTTCATGCATCCTGATAAAAGTTACGGCCTCTATCACTTTCCCTTATCTCCCTCCCACATTTTTAAAACAATTTCACCAGGTTTCCATTTTCTGTTTTCATACATGCAAATAAATTTCTTCATCCATAATCATCCTCATTCACCTTCTCCACATACCTTTTTCCCTTTCTTCTGGTACCCACTCCCTCAACAGAGCCAGCATTAAATAATTGTTTTTGGATTTAGTCCTTTGAATTTTCCTAGTAGCTCATTCAAGGAATATGATTTAATAGTCATGTATAGAAGGTATATTAAGTAATGTTATTTATATGTGATTATGTAATATTGACAATATTAACAATATCGATTTTCTTCAAATTTCTGTTTTTATTTTTTTATTTTTAGGATCATCATGCCTATAGTTCGTAATTCAAAAAAGTCTCTTACACCTCAGATTTCTGATTTAACAAGTGAATCTTACGAACAGCTGGATTTTTTGCCTGACAAGTTAAGAACAAAGCTGCTTCCATTCCAGAAAGATGGCATCATTTTTGCCCTCAGAAGAGATGGCAGGTAAAGTACATTTATAATGTATTTATGCATTTATTTACTTAATTTATTTTTTTGTCAGTCATGGGACTTGAACTGTGAGCTTGGGTGCTCTTCAGCTAAGGCAAGTGTTCTACTACTTGAGCCACAGTACCACTTCTGGTTTTTGGTGGTTAACTGGAGATAAGAATCTCATGGACTTTCCTACCTGGTCTGGCTTTGAACCGAGATCCTCAGATCTCAACCTCCTGAGTAGCTAGGATTACAGGCGTGAGCCACCAGTGCCTGGCATGTTTATGCATTCATAATGCATACTATAAATGTTAAATTCCTGGCAACTATACTAAAACAAAAATAACAACCAGAGAAAACCTGTTCAAATCACTTTTTTTTAATTAGTCTTCCTTTAGTAGAATTGGTTATGACTAAACTAGCTTCATTTCTAAACTGTGGTTAACTTATGCTTCAGATGGAAATATATTGAACAAATTCTAAGTATTTTAGTTACTAGATATTTCCAGTCTCTTATAAGTGACAGTTGTCTAGATTATGTTGTTTATATATATAAATATATATATTTCCACACACACACACACACACACACACACATATATATATATATATATATATATATATATATATATGGAAATGTGATCACAGCATTTTAATTTTTTCTTTTGGATTAGTAACCTCTGGTGCTTATACTACTGCTTATATTTTATTTATTTATTTTATTTTGTGCTGTTCCTGGGACTTGAATTCAGGGCCTAGACACTGTCTATGAGCTTTTCTGTTCAAGGTTAGCACTTTCCCACTGGAGTTACAGCTCCACCTCTGGCTTTTTGCTGGTTAGGTGGAGAAGAGTCCGATGGATTTTCCTACCTGGGCTGACTTGGAACTGTGATCCTCAGATCTCAGCTGCCTGAATAGCTAAAATTACAAGCATAATCCACCGATGTGTACATATACATTATATATGTATGCATTATATATATAATACATACACATACATATATACATATATGCATATAATATACATACATATGTATATATAATATATTTTATTTCTTTTCAAATTTCAAAATACTTATTTAATCTCTTTAACCATATTGGGCCATTACATGGTTTTCCATATATTTTTTCTTTTTCTTTTTTATTCATTTATTTTTTATTATTATAAAGGTGATGTACACAGTGGTTACAATTACATAAGTCAGGTAGTTTAAGTTACATAAGTCAGGTATTCCATATTTTAAAGTAAAGTGTTGTCTTTCGTATTCACACATATCATATATTTCTCCTCATATTGTAAAATCTTTTTTTTTTCTTTTTTTGGTTGTTTGTGGGGCTTTGAACACTGGGCCTGGGCACTGACCCTGAGCTTTTCAGTTCAAGTCAAGTGCTCTACTACTTGAGCCACAGCACCACTTCTGGTTTTCTGCTGGTTAATTGGACATTAGAGTCTCACAGACTTTCTTGTCCAGGCTGGCTTTGAACCATGATCCTCAGATCTCAGCCTCCTGAGTAGCTACGATTATAGGTGTGAGCCACAGGCACCTGGCTTATGAAAATTTTTAAACATTGAATGAATGTTAGAGTAGACACTTGGTAGACCTACCGTCCGTCTATCATTTACATTCCATTTTTCTATCTCTCCATCCTTGGATAACATTAGTTTATCCTATCTTTTTCATTCATTTCACAGCAAATTTAAGACACTAGTATGCTTCTGAAGTACTTAAGTATGTGTGTGGTTAATCCTAGGTCATATTTGTTTACAGTTTTGTTTCTTATGTTAATGAGAATGCATAAACTTGACAAATAAATATATTTGTATAAACCAAATCTACCATTCTAGAAAATGTTCTCACTTCTTTTCCCAAACCATTATTGGTTTTATGTTTTTTAAAAACTATGTTTTGCTTTGTTCTAGAGCTTTTTATAAATGGAAGAATACAGTATGTGCTGTTTTCAAAGACTTCCTTCATTCCCTGTAGTCTTACTTAAAAAACTTCTTTAGTATATCCTATTGTATGCACTTACTTCTACAGGTAATAGTTGATAACTAAGATGATAGGTTTGGTGCTTTTTGCTTTACACCTGTATCTTCCCACCTTTATTAGCCTACACATCATTTTTGTACATTAGCTTTGCTTTTATGGAATTATACAATTCATAATATCTTTGTTACTCAAATTCCTGAAGATTTTAGTCACAAATGTAATGTAGGCATTAGCTTTTTAAAATTTCAGTGCTAATATCAATTTCTAAAACAAACACATTTCTTCACAGTTGCTAGACAAGTACTATGCCACTTCTGCCATACTCCTAGTCCTTTTTCTTTTTTCCTCCTGGCATACTATGTATGCCTCCTTCTCAGCCTTTTTTGTTGATTAATTGGAGGAGTTTTACAGCCCGGGCTGCCTTCTAATCATGATCCTGAACATCTCAGTCTCCTCAGTAGTTAGGATTATAGGTGAGAACCATTAGCTTCTGACTGACTCTTTTCCTTGTTAACTTTTTTTGTGTGTGTTTTTAGTTATCTCTAGTTTTTTAGTTAGCATATATTAGTTTATATAAAACGTCATTTTGTTTTTGATACATAATGTTACTAACTTTTCTGTGTTAGCTTTGAACTCATGATCCTCCTGTTTATGTTTCCTGAATGAGATTATACCACCATACCTGTTAAAGCCTTTAGCTTAAGTAGTTCATACTTGTGTCTTTGAGCTTATTGGTATAGTGGGGTAGACAGAATATAAGCTATAGAGTCAGACTCTGTTTCGATGTGAATCATTTACTCTTTCTGTGTGATGCTTAGTATGTGTCTGTAATCATTTGAACTTCAGATTCATTGACTAGAAAATGAATATTATAAGTCTAGTTGCTGCAGTTATAAAAGAATTCTAAGTTCGTTGAAATGGTCAAATAAAATGCCTACTGTACTTTTCTTAGCTTTTTAAAAGATCTTCCAAACTTTTCCTTAGACTGTATAAAATATAAATATACATAGTAAAATAGTAAAATGTAAAACATTTTCATCATCCTAAGTGGCCCTCTTTGTAATCAACTCTTCTAAAGTAGGCAACCTTGATATGACTCCATAGACTGTATTTAAAAAAGAAGTCATGTATTAATGTGTTTTTTGTTTTGTTTGACAGTAGGTCTTGCTATATAGTCCTTGCTCACTTTGAACTCACCGTTGCCTGCTTCAGCTATCTGCATGCTGGTTTTTTTTTGGGGGGGTCTGATCGTGGGGCCTGAACTCTGGGCCTGGGCACTGTCCCTCAGCTCTTCAGCTCAAGGCTAACGCTCTACCACTTGAGCCACAGCGCCACTTCCGGCTTTTTTCTTTTTGCTTATGTGGTGCTGAGGAATCGAACCCAGGACCTCAGGCATGCAAGGCAAGCACTCTACCACTGAGCCACCTTCCCAGCCCTCTGCATGCTGGTTTTACAGGCATGTAATACATATAACACTCAGTTTCACAGTGTATTTCTAAGTTACTTTATGCGCTTATTTAAAATTGTAATTATAATAATCTTTTTTTATTACTATGGCTTGAAATCAGGGAAATATTCATCTTAAGCAAATATTCTACTACTGAACTGCATTCCCAGTTATTTTGAGATAGGTATCCCTGGCTGGAACTCTCTATGTAACCTGAGCAGGCCTCAGACTTACAATTCCCATGCTTCTGATTCCTTGGGATTATAGGCATGTGCCACCATGCTAACTTTTTATTCTGATGTAATTTCAAATGGGTGGAAAGGTTATAAGAAAAATTAAAAAATGGCCAGGTGCTGGTGGCTCACGCCTATAATCCTAGCTACTCAGGAGGCTGAGGTCTAAGGATTGTGGTTCAAAGCCAGCCTGGGCAGGAAAGTCTGTGAGACTCTTACCTCCAATAAACTACCAGAAAATCAGAAGTGGTGCTATTGCTGAAGTGGTAGAGCGTTCTCCTGGAACTGAAGAGCTGAGGGACAGCACCCAGGCCCAGAGTTCAAGCCCCACTCATGACCGACCAAAAAAATGAATAAATAAAAATTGACTGCCACAATATCTTTTAACTAGATTTACTGATTTTTTTCTCCAGTTCTTAGGCTTGAATTTGGGCTTCTTGATCTCTCTCAGTTTGCTTGCTCACAGTTGAGAAAATAAAAAGAAAATAACTTTTAATTTCATTTTATTTCATGGAATCCTTATAATTTTAGTTTATGTGTTCATGTTGAGCTAATTTTTACATGTGGAATGAGATAGTTCTAGGGTTATTTTCTTTTATCCTGTTCCCTAGTTAAACTTTATCATGATTTCTAGAAAAATCTTTCAGTACTTTAAATTATATGTTTATTGAACTTTGGTTGATTACATAGGTATATTTCTTGATTATTTCTTTTTGGTAATGTATCTTTTTCAGTTGCAGCTCCTCCAGTTTTACTTTTGCTGTAACTTTCTTAAGTTTAATTTGAATCTTTTTGTGTGTGTGTGTGTGCCCATCCTGGGGCCTGGGCGCTGTCCATGAGCTTTGGTGCTTAAGGCTACTACTCTACCACTTGAGTCATGGCACCACTTCTGTCTTTTTCTGAGTAGTTTATTGGAGATAAGTGCCTTATGGACTTTCTTGCCCAGGCTGGCTACAATCCTCAGATCTCACATCTCAGCCTCCTGAGTAGCTAGGATTATAGGTTAGAGCTCGCAGCTCTCAGTTATACTCTATATTTATAAAAAAGTATTATTTTCTTTGCTGATTTTGAATGAGTCTACTTTTTGTGTCATTTTTCCTACATTGGAAATGAGGTTTGTGTTTTATCATTATTTATAATGTATGTGTGTGTGTGTGTGTGTGTGTGTGCGTGCATGTGTGCACGCGCTCATGCATGCTTGCATGTGTGCTGGTCTGGTGGCTTGAACTCAGGGTCTGGGCCCTCAAGTCTAGTGCATTACCACTTGTACAATAGCTCCACTTCTGGCTTTTTGGTAGTTAATTAAAGATAAAATTCACATGAACTTTCCTTTCATGGCTG